GCCGCCTAGGATAAAATAGAGAGACATTCAAAGATTATCAATTGGGATTTGTAAGCTAGTTTTAAGCTTCTTTCAAAGATACAAGGCTTGTTTTCATAGGATTTGAAATAATTTTGTAATTGTTGTTCAAATCAAGGTTTGTATTGATGACTTGGAATTTGTGCAATACAATTAGAACTAGCACTTTCAATTAATTTGTACAATTGATATTATATCTATAATTCAAAATTTAATAATAGTTGATTAATTAGGTGTGCTAAGTATATGTAAAATTTTGTATTAATATAATAGTGTAGTTGAGAGATATCTGGATTTTGGCTCAAGAGGATATCAAAAATTGATAGTTTGGAATCGGATAGGATTTCTATGATATCTAAAGATCTACAAATTAGATCTAGGTGAAATTTGGCATAGTGTTAGAAGACTTTAAGATCAAGCTACATACTAATTTTGAATTGAAGTTAATAGTTGAAGAAAGAGAAATTGCTACTAAAACATGTACATCAACTTTCAAGTTAGTAGCCAAGTGACATTAGTATGATTTTTGGACTTTTTCTCATAATCTGTAAGTTGGATTGGACTAAAAAAAATTAAGCATATAAAAGAGTTATAGTAGCATTTATTATAAAAAAATTGCACTAAGTAGATGATCAAATTAGAAGTTACAGCTTGCCAAAGCTTACTAACTAGAATTAGAGCTTGCAAAGAGAAATTAAAATTACCTAATTATGAGAGTAATGAGGCAATTGGAGTTTATGTATAATTGAGGTTACTAAAAAGAGTGTTTTTTAGTAATTTGTATTTGCTTTAAGTACTTTTGAATTAAAATTAAAATTACATTCTTCTTATATGAGTGAAACCTATTAAGATTTTTTGGATATTTGTAAGATACAATTTCATCTCTCAAAGCAAGGTGCCCAATGCATTTTCAAACAAGACAATATGTATTATGACATCATATAATAGTCTGAAAAAAAAAAAAAAAAAAAAAAAAAAAAAACTTACCTAATATGATATTCAAATAAGCATTTTTTTTTAGATTATTTTTGTTATATTTTTTTTTACTATTGAAAGGAGTATTTAAGTATGATGCTTCAACAAGCTTTACAACAATTATCATGGAACTTATAAACTTCTTCAACTATTATCTATTATTGAATAACCATGGTCTATGGACTTTATCATGGATCTTTTAGTCTCAAGTTCTTTGTTAAGAACTTCTTTAAGTTGTACCTTCATCTGCATTGGTATTTTATTATTCTCAATGCAGATGCTTATTGCAAAAAATAATCTCAATTCCATGTTGGCAACAAGATATGATTACTTCATCATAATATCAAGCCTATTTGTCCTTATAATAAGTTAGATTACCAAAGACTTAAACTATTTTTTATACATAAATAGGTTAATTCAATTACTTATCAATTGTACCTACTAAAGTCTATAAAGATCCATTATGTATTCTATGTGCCGCTTTTTGAGCCATACAAGATAGCAAATATATCAAAAAGATGACAAATATCACTTTCTCTTATAAAAATGGATAATAACCAACAACATAATGTTAAAGAAGTCTTAGGCTCAAGGTGGTGCCAAAATAGGTTAAAATAACTTGTTCATTGGCATGAATATAATATGAATAAATACATATGGGAGTGAGCCAAGAATCTTATAAATGCAGCAAAAAATATTGATGTTTTTTATTAACAACATCCATCTAAACCAAGATGAAGGATAACAAAACTTTGCTATCAAAGATATATGGTTTAAGAAATATTACAATCTATCTTCTATCTTTATTTATAATTTTTTTATATTTGTGGCATTAAAAAAATAAAAAATCAACAACCAACAAATTTAATTAAAGAGCTATTATTTGCTAAGTTATCAAATGAGATATTGCAATTGTCACAACTTTCAAGACAACGCAATAGAAATAAGAACCCTCAAGAAAAACATGTGATTTTTCAAACATATGGAAAAATTATATTTAATAAGATGTTTTGAAAGATATTCATCAAAGGTAGCATGTACCAAATGAAAGGTTGTATTGGCAGTAGCAAAAACAGTAGTGACGTCAGAAATGCCTTTATTTTTATATATATATATATATATATATGTATATATCATTAAGCATGAATGAAAAAATAATAAATGATAAACTGATAAATAAATACATGTAGTTAGTTAGTTACAATGAAATGTTTGCACAGGGAATATTGGAAAAACAGCACAAGTTCTAGATGCGAACAGCAATGAATTTCAAAGCCAGACAATATATTGAGGTGTGGAGAATAAATAGTTTTAGCCCTTAAATAACAGACAGCCAGTTATACCGCCACTTTGTCTACTTGTTATTTAACATAACCTGAATTAGGGCAACAATAAAATCCAACACTAGGGAGTTTATTATAGAAAATAATAATTCCTGTGGGGCCGCTGGAATGGCATGAAAGATGAGGATCGAGGGGGCGCATCTCTGGCAGCGGCGGCACCTTAAAAGGCACCTTTTGGGTGGAAGCTCCTTTAATTTGTTTCTTTTATGTTTTAAAACAAGTTTTTAAATAAAAAGTGGATAGGAAGTTGTGAGATTTTCTTCCATGCGGATGGATTTCACGTGAGAGAAGATCAATGCAGAGATATATAAAAGGAGTAATCAATGTCTTCATTAATGACAATTTTATTTATATGTTAATTAAAGTGTAAAAAAAATAAAAACAACAAAAACATGTGTGCAGTGTACGATTTAGCAGAGTCCACAGAAACTGTTTCCAAATCTAATTGACACATTTTTTATTTTTTTATTTGTTTGTGGACACTGGCATCAGATATTCAGAACTTGTTTCTATTCTGAATAAAATAACCTTTTTAAACTTGTTTTAAGTGCTGTCATGTGTTAAAGTTATGTGCTTGTATCAAATATATTATGTTATTTTTTTTTTAATAATTTATTGATAAGAAAAAAATCCTCACACAATCATCATACACATAATATTTACATCCAAAACAAAGTGGTTTCATAATGTGAATTCAGTATCAACTGATAATTAACTAAAAATTAAATTTTGAATTTAAGTTCCTGATCATGAGTAGACTACTAATTACTTCATTAACAAGTGAATTGGTAGCACTTAATCACTTCGTAATGTAATATACAACCAAGTTTACAGAATGAAGTTAGAAGGATACATCACCATTCTTACTTTCTTTTACAAAGGAAAGATAAAAATATAAATATGTTTTTTTTTTTTTTTTTTTTAAAACTCACATCAGTATATTCAAACACGGTGTCTATTCAAAACCATGTGCACATTATATTTTCTTGAGTGATTTCAGGATGCAAATTCAAGATTGAATTTATTATTGCAATTTCAAAACATTATTGGTTCGGATGAATACAAGGTGTGTAAACAATGTAATCTTTTCATATTTTTGTTAGTATATATATATATATATATATATATATATACTAACAAAAATATGAAAAGATTACATTGTTAACAAAAATATGAAAAGATTACATTTTTTATATATATATATATATATATATATATATATGGGAATGTTATATAGATCCATGCTTTTACTAAATCAATCCACCATCAACAAAAAATATGATAATTATGATGAATGTGGTTGGTTTGTATTAGTTGTAGAACCGATAGTGAAGAAATAAATCTAGAGGTTGTTTATTTTTTTCATGATGGTTAGGATGGATGGGTCAACTTAGTAAAAACTTGGGTCTATTTAACATTCCCTTACGTGTATATATATATATATATATATATATATATACAAGTGCAAACTCATATCCTTAGTTGTAAAATGATCTCTTGTACAAATATTAAACTGGAGTTCTTTCTGCAAGTCATGCATGGATTTTTGCTAGCCAACAATTTCTTTGATTTTAGCCAATGAGAAGGCTTTTTTATATCTTTTTCTTATACCTAAGCTTCTTTATTACAAAAATAATCAACTTGATTGTTTTTAATGGAAGGAGTTTTTGAACTAAAACTTGGATATGAAAGTTGGTGCCGCTTGGTGTTGAAGTACTGTTAAGGAATGCACTATTCTGTTAACTCTACATGAAGAAGTTTTACTGTAAAAAGCACTGCCAACGTAAAAGTAAACATAAAATGCAAAAGGAGCAATAGCCATCCGATCAAAAGTCTTGTGTCAGATTGGAGACCAAGGGGGGTCTTCCCCCATCAATGGGGTGGCGGCGGCTACCTTTTGAAAGCCATGCAATCGCACGGATCCAACCTCATTTCTATCAAATTGTTCCCAGCAGCGTTCGCTACTCGTGGGAGCCCTAGAACCATGTTCGGGAACCAGGTCATTAATGGCCAGGGCAGCTCGGGCAGGAGCGAAAACTACCCATGCTCTGGATAAAGCCTGCCTGGTGGGTACCAAATCAGCACAGCTTCCGTTCCAGGCCTGAGGCCTGATACCGCAGCTACTGCATTCAACTTAACAATATGTCTTTTCAATGTTCATGTTGAAGTGATTGTTGGTAGTTGATGATAATTTTGACCAACATCTCATTCGCACACACTTTGCGGAGTTTCTCTTTTTTTGAAAAACGATTATTTTCTTAAAGTTTAATTTTTTTACTAGTAAGTTATTGATGTTGTTGTTGAGCAATAACGTGTTCTTAAGTTTATTTTTTCCATGGTCCATAATGATCGTGGGATTTGTTTTGTTGTGTAAAATAGATCTAGTATCAGTTATTTTGTTCTCGAGGGCAATTCTTTGATTCATCGTGTCATTATCAGTTATCTTACTTTTGCTCAAACACATATTTTGCCCATTCTTTTAGTGCTTTACCAGAAACCCGTACACATACTAGTGCGTGCCCATATATATATACGTACAATTATATAAAATATTAATAATACAGATCATGTTTACTCATACGACTACGGTGCTGCCACGAGTGACGCGAGAGACGGGCGGCCGCGGCGGAGGCATGGCTCGGGTTCCTTTGCTGCCGCTCTGCTTGCCCTCCTCTTTTGTTGTTGTTGTTGTTCATCGCACTCTCATCTCAATTGCATCCATCTTGCTTCTTCTTCACTCACACACCCTTGGCTCAAGCAGTCTTTGTCTTTCCTGCACGGTGATCTTGGCATGGAGAAGAATTATCGGGAACTTGTAATTTGGGAGGTCGGGGAGGAGCTGCTTCGATCTCAAGTATGATTTCTTGATATGGTCTTCGCTATTTCTTGACCACCTTCGACGTTGGAAGTATCTATGAGAGAGATTGCGTCTTCTGATAGTGCAATAGCCATGCAGTTAGGTATATGGAATTGATGAATACGAAGTGGATGAGTGATTTTGAGGTGTGGAGTTGGTGCTTTTGTGATGTTAAGAGCCTGCATTGAGTGAGGGATTGTTCAGTGAAGCACTTGGTGCAAGCAGAGAAGTCACCGTGATTCCATGTTTGATGCCCGAAGCAGCGGTACGGATGCGTTTGATTGTTTTGAGGGCACTGATCAGTTTCAGCCAGCTGTAGTTAAGTGATAGATTCAGTTGAATATCTTGTGCGCCACGGGATTGATCGTTCATGCATTAGATCGTGGAAAATTCCTCCCGAGATTGAAGTTAGTGGACAGAACAACTGTTGGCGAGACTTTTCCCCTAGCTGACGGAGAGTCAGCTCGCACTCCTCTGTGATCTGGATCTCTCAAAGGAGACATTTTCTTGGTGTCTCAGTCGCTTGAGGCAAAGTGTGTCATCAGGTAGCTGCACAAGGAGCTACTCTCTCGCAGAAGGGCACCCACTGCAGTGGTTTGTGAGATTAAAAATAACGCATGGCAATATTATTCCTATACACTGGATTCCTTGTACACTTTTTCTATACTTTTAATTAAAGCAATTCTACCAGACGATCGGCACCTTTACAATGGCTGATTCGCGTGTTTCCAATAATACATTGTCGAAAGAGCAGTCGTATCATTAGCATACCTTAGTAAATGCAAGTTGATCTTCTGGTGTGACATATCAGATGCAATATTTGAGTCAAATTATAAACTTTAAACTGAACCAGTGTTTCTCAACAAATCCATTTGCGGATTTGGTACAACTCTTGAATGCCGCTTGTTTTAATGTTGGTGCAAGTCTTTGTGTACGTTGCAATGTGCAAGACTTTGAACCCAACATCTTTATTAGTTTTTGTCAATGGTGTTGAGCCAGGCAAAACCCCAAGCTTTAATAGAATACTGGAGTCGAGAATCGTTTTCTGATGGCCTCTCTGATTTAAGCTCTCGGTAGCGCTAGAGTTGTCGGAGTGATTCTTTTAGAAGACAGTTCTAGTCGATGAAAGAGACAGAAGTTGCCTTGCATGTGACTGCCGGTTTGGGTCCTGTCCATTGACGAGAAGTGATGTCTAGTCGACATCCTTAAAGATTTAGGTACATTAATGCGTTTAAATTCAATCGTCTGAAGTCCATCCCAAAGTTTGGCGATTGATGAATCTTGGTCAGTGACAAATCTTTTTTCATAGCTTGCATCAGCAAGTGGTTAAACGAGGCAACTGAGATTATATAAGATTTTCATATTTATTGAAAAGTAATATGTGCGGAAGATCTTGTTTAGTTTACAGCTCTTTATATTAAGGGCTGTATCTTCGCGTTAGTTGACGAACCTCCTTTCTGCATGCAGGATTAGAGTGTGTGATCTTGGACTCCTTTGTATCTCATTTCATAACTTTACTCAAGTATTGGCCGATTTGCACAAGAGATGTTGCTCATTGATAGAACTCTGGAGCTGCAACATGCGAATGCTGTGACCTGCGCATGCGACCGCCAGCCTCTAAGCAGTGACTTTTAGTCGGAGTTAAAATCTCAAGGGTAATTATGCTCTGGAACTTAAACCTAGTCCTGCAACGACTTCATGGGTCTGATGCAGCAAATGTGACTTTGTGTGCAGAGTATGTCTATGCGAGGAAGATGCTAGCAAGGAAAAGAGAGTGGCATCTCAGAGACTCATTTGGTTTGGTTCCTATCATGGAAGGCAAATGGTGTGAATGAAGTGTGGAAGTTGGCGCTCGATTTCAAGTTGGAATCTCATCAAGTTCCAGCAGAGCTTCCCGTCCCACTATTTAAAATTCTCCTGTGCCGCGGAAGTCAATTCTTATAGGATAATTTTCAGAATGGGATGCTCTAATTCGAAAGTCGACAACGAGGATGCAGTTGCAAGATGCAAGCAGAGGAAGCAATTGATGAAGAAAACCATATTGTCTCGGCATAACTTCGCAGCTTCACATGCTCAATTTGTTTCTTCTCTCAAAGGAGTTGGCTCAGCTTTCCGACAATTTGCAGAGGGTGAGGAGACAAAGGATGGAGGGGCTAACACGATGTGTCTTCTGGAAACACCAACGACTTCGACGACACACGTCCTATCATTACGCCCTCCTCCCTTGTTACCGGCGTGGTCCTTCTTATATGGTTTTTCTGCTGGCTTTTCAACACCTTTTCCTCCTCACTCACCGCTTCGAAGGAGTCCTTCAGCAACACGATCACCGAACTCAAGAGCGGCTAATTCTCCGGAGAGTTTCAGCATGGAATTCTTTCCGCCTCCACCTCCTTTTATTGCGAATAAGAACAGAATGGAACATACTACCCTTTCCATACCAACCAAAATTTACAAGTTTGAAGGCTATCCAAGCTCTTGCATGCCAGGATCGTACAAATTGGAGGACTTTCCCCCTCCTCCTTTGATTCAACCCATTCAACTGGATGATGATTGGAGATACTCCTGTCAGACTCCTTCTCTATCACATGCTGCTAAAGAGAACAACTCTCCTCCACCCGTCGCGGGTCGGATTAGTTGGCAGGATTTGTTTCTGAATCCATTTCGATCTTTAACCTCAACATTCAGTTACACAGAACACAGAAGGAATCATGAGTCAGAAACAAGGCAAAGTCAGGAGATGGGGGAACAAAGTAGACAAAAGTTTCAGCGGGGACAGATCCCCGAGGTGGACTGTAGCAGGAAGGATGAGGTTGAGCAGAAGAAGTTTGTTGAGGAGCAGAGAAATGTCCTGGAAGTGAAGGAAATGAAGGTTTGGGGGCCCAAGCGCAGAGGCCTCAGAGGGATAGAGCGAACGAGAGCTGAGGTGCTCCTTCCCAAACTTCCTCTAGAGAATTCCTCAGATAAGCAGTGACCTCAGAAAGAATTTTAAATCAGAGTTGGGGACCAATCTAGACCTGGATCAGGACTTCGGATAGGAGTAAATTCGCTTCACTCGGAGTGCTTAGATGATCTTTCCTTATCTCAATGTTCCTTGTACGAAGCTTCTGCGTTCAGATGATTCTCAGTGTTAGACCTTTTGATCCAGTTGTGGGACAGGTTAATGAGTACGATCTGAGTTAAACTGGAGTTATATACTAAAGTTGACATTCTATTTAATTCCTTTACGTTCTATGATTGATGGTTCACAGGACTCGAACGGAGTGAAAGATGTCCAGAATGTCAAGAACTTCAAACCCGAACCTGAGACGCTTCCGAAATCTTTGTCGAAGGTTCAGAACCATATGTCGATAACTACAAAGTCAACGAAGGCGCATGTGTCAAGAAAACCTCCGAAACTTGAACAAAGCGATAAAACGGTGGTAAATACCGAAATTGATTTGGCTGTTATCAAGATGGAGAGTGGTGATCGGGACCTGCTCGATGTTCTGAAGGAGGTTGATGATCATTTTTTGCAAGCTGCCGAAAGAGGAGAGGATATTTCTCGCATTCTTGAGACGAAGAAAACACACTTTCATACAAGTTTTTCAGATAGTTTGAAAGGTACTTCCGCACAATCGATTCATGGGTTAATATTCTATATTTTTCAAGTCAACGGTAGTTAGTTTTCCTGTATACGTTGATTGTTTTTGGTTTGGGTACTCATCTTCGTACTGCACGACTGTGAAGTGGTGGGTGAATCTGCAAGGATGAACTTCTTGAAGCTATCTGGGAAATCCGGTCTATCTGGTGGCAAACACTCCAGGACCAGTAGTAATACAAGTGTTATTAGTGACGATTCTGCGAACATCATGAGCATCCGAAGTATTAGCGACATGAGAAGCGCAAGGTGGTCTGAAGAGTGTGGACTGACGGGCAGCCATTCAGAAACTCTTGATAAATTGTTTGCCTGGGAAAAGAAGCTCTTCTCAGAGGTCAAGGTGTGTATGTTACACCGGAAATATCAAATTAAATATTTGCAATGCAATTTTTGTGAGGTGGGAGTCGTATTGAGATTTGTGTATATTATGAAGATTACACAGCTTACTCATTTTTCTAAACATGATGTTTATGGGGTTGTTGAAATCAGGAGGCAGAGGCTCTTAGAATCGACTTAGAGAAAAAGTACTTAATGTTTAAAAACCAAGATGCCAAAAATGAGGATCAAATTAACATTGACAAAACTCGGGCGAGTATCAGGGCTCTTCAAACCCGAATGGTGGTAGCTATTCATGCCGTAGATGGTGCCGCACAGCAGGTGCAGAAGCTAAGGGATGAGAACCTGTATCCTCAGGTTCTGGAGTTGCTTGAAGGGTGGGTAGAGTGTTTGCCGTTTCGAAACACCAAGTTGAACAAGAGTGTTTCTTGATATGTTGATTATCTCCCAGTGTGTGCACAATGGTGCTGAATTAAACCGAGGTTTTCAAAGTATTTTGAAGGTATTCACTGTTGCGTTATCGCACGTTCTGCAGGATGGGAACTATGTGGAGGGGAATATCTTTGTGCCACCAAGCTCAGCTCGAAGCCGTTAAAGCTGTGAAAAGGCTCGATAACTCTGCTGCCTGTAAACCAACTACAAGCTTTCATCGCCATTCAACAGCACAACTCGAACTAGCTCTCCACAGGTGGGCTTTGTTTTTTTTGTTTTATTATAATTCCGCTACCTGTTGCTTTTGGATCATGGCTGGGTTTTCATGTGAACCTCATGTAGCAATAAGTAGAACGAAAAGAAGTGTTGCATGTTGCTGTATGGCTGCACTTGATAGTGTTGCTGATCTTGGTTGAGAGATATCGCTGTAGGTGGTCGGAAGATCTGAGCCGGTTTGTTGAGTCACAACGAGATTACATAAAGAATTTAACTGCGTGGCTTCGTCTAAGTCTCATGAAATTTGGGACTGAAGAGGACAAGACTGGATCAAGATCGCCTGTGAGATCTCCGAGGTCTCCCTTATGCTATGTGGAGGCAAGTGCTGCTTATGGGCTCTGCCTTGGATGGCAAGTCGCGTTAGATCAGCTTGCCGATAGAGTAGTGCTGGAAGGTATAGGGTCATTTACAGCGGTGGTGCGGGAGATGATGAAGTTGCAGTGGGAGGAGCTGAGGATTAAAAGGCGAGTTGAAACTTATCACAGGGAATTGAAAAAGAGGGAGAAAGCTCTACTGAGTGCTACCATGCGAGATACAAGCTCCATACCAGTACCACAAATACCTTCTGCCACGTCCGGCAGTGATATGGATAGTGACGGTCCTGATATTCAATCTAATAGGTTTTTTCCTGATCGCCGATTTGATATTGTGCCCGGGGAATGTCTTCCAGAGCGGACTGAAGTTGCTGAGAAGCGGCTCAAAATGGAATCCACGAAGAGAAAACTTGAAAATGAGCTTGAAGCGGAAAAGAAAGCGTACACATGCACTCGAGCTTATACTCTCAACAGTCTGCAAGCTGGTTTACCACAGCTTTTCCAAGCCGTTATTGCCTTTAGTGACCTCGAGGCTGAAATACACCGTAGACTGAGCTCAACTCAGCAAACGCTGCATTAGCAAGTGATCCACCCTTACTGTCTTCCTGGTCGGGTTTTAATTGAGAAAATGGAAGAGAAATGTGGTAAATGTTGTTTTTTCCTCTCGGAATCCATGCTTCAACAATCAGTTGTCTAGTGGCTTCGTGGCTGCTGTACAGTAGTGTCATACCTACTATTATACAGTATCTCCAAGAATATAAAAACCAAAAACAATCTTCAAAACTGTCTGTTCATGAACGCCTCGCGACATAACTAGGAAGTCTACCACAGTGTCCAAAATTCTTGAGGAATTCATTTAGGTTTCAAGAGTTATAAGCAGCATGGCTATGAGTTTCAAATGACTTGCTAGAGCATTTCGAAATGATTCATGCAACAAATTCAGCACTTGCTTCGACCAAACATAGACTTTGTTTTTTTTTTTTCAACATAATATGCAAGGAAGTGCTGAACTAAGTGAAAGCAGTGTTAAGCAAATGCTTGTGTGAGAGATGAAGATATGGTTGTGATGCCGAAAACCTGTGTGTTTTTTACAAGTGACTGATTGTCGTATTCAAATCATTTTCCACAACGAAATTCACCATGGAGTATATAATGGCAAAGCTACTGCAGATTGTGTCAACAAAGTTACAAAATGAAGCATGAAGTAGAACTTTGACACAAATTGTTACTTCAACAAAAGTATGTTTCTATGTGTTTTACATTATATAAGAACACATTATATTTATAGAACTCCAAGTCATGTTGATTGCAATTGGTTTGTACTTGATTATTATTTGTGTAAGTAATAGAGAACAAAAAGAATAATAAAGAAGAAAGAGAAAACTAACATTACTAGTAAAGATAAATCAAATAGATAAAATTTGATAAAAAGAACTAATTTATGAAAAGTCTGATTTGCAAATAGATGATTAGAATAGAAATTTAAAAACAAATGATTAATAATTCCTATGCCTTTAATATCTATAAGATAGTTTCTATGAGAAGAAAATATATGAATGATATTAAAATGATTTGATAATGTGGGTTGAATAAAGAATGATTATTACACATTTATGATAATTTCTTCTAATAGATAATTTTAAAAAAAAATATCATATAAAAAATTCTATGTTTAGACAAATCTAAATACATGCAAATTCAAGGCAACTTATAATATCAACAATCTATATAAGATTCAAATTATTTTAAGACCAAAAATAATATAAACATCAAAGCATTGTTTTTATTTTGTTGTAACTTATTTTTTATGTTGATTTATTATTTTTACTATATAAAATTATTTTTATAAAATTCAAAAAATATATATAATTTTAAGTTTTCATCTAAATATTTTTAATAAAATCCATTTTACTAAAAAAAAAAAAAAAAAAAAAAAAAAAATCCTATTCTTTCTGAAGTAGCACAACAATTTAGATATGAATAATATCCACACTTCCAAATATAGTGTACTCTATATATCTAATTAAAGATCAAGAATATATCTTTGAAACATACAAATTTTGAAGGATCTAAGACTTTTGAAATTGATGTCTCTTGGATTGAATGTGCAATTTATTGGCATTAGCATGAAAAAAAATCTTGTTAAGCTGAAAGATCTCACACATGTAATTATAGATTCTTTTTTAGTAAGAATATTTTTTACTATTACTTTCTCATTTAATTTAATTTTTTTAACTATCTTAAGGTAGATTTAATTGCTATGTATATTTAATACATAAGTAGCTAACCACCTCCTTAGTCACATTCAGTACTGCTATTTTTTTAAGTTTTCTTTTTTAAAATCTATTAATACTTATGTATTTTCTTTTCTTAAAGTTTATTTACACTAATTCTTCTTCTTATCCATATTCCACTTAATAATGAGCTTTAGGTGATTAAATTAAATATTTAAAATTAGGATTTCTTAAACTTTTGTTTTAAGATGTAAAATTAGGATTAATAAAAGTTAAATACAATTATAGATTGGAAAAATTTATTAACAATACATAATGTTCAATACTTTTTAAAATTTACAAATTATTATAAGATATTTTTCCAAAACCTCTTTTTAGCTGTTTTTTCTTAGAAAATTAATTATTAAAGATAAATTAGAATAGAATAAATATATACAAACAACATTAAAAGGTTTAAAAACAAATCTTATGTCAACTCCTATTTTATGTTGCCTAAAATTTTTTAAGCCGTTTTTTATAGATAAAAATGCATCAAAATTTGCATTAGATGCAATATTATTAAAAATGGAGACAAATAATAAAATTTAACATCTTGCCTTTTATTTAAAAAGTTTTCAACACTTTAGATTGGTTTTGAGATCAATAATAAAGATTTTTTTGTTATTATATATTTTTTTAAAGAGTGGCATTATTATTTAGAAGGCACTTCTCATCCAATCAAAATTTATATCAATTACTAGAAGTTTAAATATTTCATGTCAATATGTGTTGTAAATTATCTCTAAGTCAGTTAAAAAATGATTTTATCATAGTTCAAATATAATATTATACATTATTTTGAAAAACAGCAAGGCTTATCAAATGCCTTATCTAAACTTTCTTGTCTTGCACTAAAAGAAAGAGATGACACATATGATTAATAATTAATTTATTTTTTGAAACTAGAATAATTAAAAATTCAAGCCATTAAATCAATAACTATAATTAATACTACTTTTGTAGTTAAATTTCATTCAAGTACAAAAATAAATCATTTTTTAATTTTAAAAATAATTTTCATAAAAAACTAAAAAATTGAAGTTTAAAAATAATATTATTTATTATAAAAGAGATTTATATTTTTTGAAAGGTTAAGTATAATTACATGAATTACAAGCTTAACATGACTTTATAGCAATAGAAAAATTTGGATATAATAAAACTTTGAAACTTATTTGAAGATATTTTTAATAAATTTAAGTATAAAAAAAATTCAAAGAGTATTTTTAATCTTTTGATAATTATTCTAAAGCAAAAAATCTATATTATTTATCCAATGGACTTTATTAATATGTACTTATTCCAAGCACAACCTTATTAATTTATTATAATCAGTTTCATTACAATTCTATTTATTTTAAATTCTTAATATTCTATTTTTATAATGGAATTTTATATAACCAAAATGGCACATTTTATATATTTTACAAAAACTATTAGGAGTAAAGAAACAATCAAATTTTTGTTTCAAAATAACTATCAATATTATAGACTTCAAAAGAATATAATATTTAATCTAGGATCTTAGTTTGTTATAAGTTTTTGAAAAAAATTCTTCAACATATTAAAGTGTGATATCAAATTATCTTCAAATTTTTATCCTCAAATTGATAGAAAAATAAAACATATAAACCAAGTATTAAAGAAATATTTACCATTTACTATCAACAAACTCTATTTATTAGCTAATTGTTGTTACCATTTCCAATATGATACTTATAATATTTTCAAAGTTAAAAATATAATAGTAAAGAATTTGGAAAGTAAAATGGTAGGACTTCACACAAAAATAAAGATACAACCACAAGAGGCCTAAAAAAATAATAATAATAAAAACTAACCCAGATTTTTTAAAATAAAAATATCTTAAATTTTGATTTGGTAATAAAATATGATGACTACTTTGTAATAATCAATTAATCTTGTAAGAATCTAAATTACATAAATTTTTTCTTATTTATCATCTAAAATAGATTAGTCTATTTTTATTTTTATTATAATTACTACAATCAATCAAAGTCCATCATATATTATACATATTTTTTATTATTTTTTTTATTACAAATAACACACCAAAAAGAAAGAAATTATTATCCATCTTCTATTGAAATAGATATCAACTAAGAATTTAAAATAGAAGAAGTCCAAGATTCAATGCGATGCCAAAATAAATTGAAATATCTTCTACATTGGCAAGAATGTGATATTAATAAATACACATAAGAACCATCTTGGAATCTTGCAAATATATCAAAGCTTATTCTTATTTTATTCTTAATAATATCCATCAAAATTAACAACTAATTATTGACAATGCAATGGTATAAATCACAAGAAAATAAGTTTAAAGATTAACTTGTAGAGTTTTTTAAAAAACATGAAAAAATAATAAGTAGTAAATTAATTTTTAAAAATATATTTGAAATATTGCTAAATAAAACACTAAGGTTGTTTTAATCTAAATAATTTTGCAATCGTAATAAAGATTCTTAAAAAAGACATATTCTTCTTCGAATAGATGGAAAGATACAACTTGTTTAATACTACAATTTTAAAAAAGACTCTTGATGCTTAGTAATACTACTAGAGGTGGATACCATATCTAATAAAATGCAAAATGTATTGTTTGAAGATAGTCATGAAGGTCTCAAAAATGATCAAACAACAAAGTAGTCTTTTTGCCTTTGTATAGAACATTATTGATGGTTGGAGGGACTTATTAATTATGTTTTTGGAGGCCATATATCAAAAAAAATTGTTAATACCATTTTATAGATTTAACACTTTATCAACTTATGAAGGAATTTGACTACTCATTATAGAATTTTGTAAGCATTATAGAAAATTAATGAGTGAAAATTTTTAGAATTGTGAAAAATTTTAGCATAATTTTTTTTTTTTTTTTTAAATATGTTTTATAATTTTAAAATTAATCATATAGTCAAATTAATGGTTATTAACATTCAATTGAATTAGGGTCTTAAAAATTAGATTTCAAAGCTTAGTGAAGATTTCTATAATTTTGAACAATTTGTCAATTAGATTATAATGTTTTCTTGTGAGCTAATAGAGAACTTAAATTGTAAATTATTTTCAATTTATAAAAAAAAATGAATCACACAACAAGAAGCTATGCTTGTTGGTAGATTGATATGAAGATTTAAAAACAAAGAAAGCCAATATCCAAGCAGATTAAGAATTTTTTTATCTTAGTTTTTAAAAATAATTCTCTTTAATTTTTGTGTTCTTGATTTTAATATATAGATTAAAATATTTACAAATTTTAAAGCAAGAACAAAAAAATTATTAATAATTATTGAGATTTTTAAAACTTCTATAGGCTTTTATTAAGATTAATTAAGATTTTATTAGAATTTATTTAAAATTTTATTAGAATATTTTTTAGGATTTATTTAATTTTTATTATGATTTGTTAAATTTATTTATGGTTTGATTAGGATTTATTTAGAAATTAATTAAGATCTCTTTAGAATTTTATTAGAATTTATTAAGATTTATTTAAGATTATTTTATGATTTCTTAATAAAAAATTTAAAAGATTAATGATTTTTTATGATTTTTTTATGATTTTTTATGA